TCCTCATCTTTCACCTTATACAAAAAGCAATTCAAGATGGATCAAAGACTTATATCTAAGACCTGAAATCATAAAAATTCTAGAAGATAATATCAGAAAAACCCTTCTGGACACTGGCTTAGGCAAAGACTTCATGACCAAGAACCCAAAAGCAAACGCAACGAAGACAAAGATAAATAGTTGTTACTTAATTAAAGTAAAAAGCTTCTGCACAGTGAAAAATATAATCAAGACAGTAAACAAACAACCCACACAGAATGGGAGAAAATCTTCACAAAGTATGTATCTGACAAAGGATTAATACCCAGAATGTGCAGTGAATTAAAAACAAATCAGCAAGAGGAAAATAAACAATTCCATCAAAAAGGCGCTAAGGACATAAACAGACAATCCTCAAAAGACGATATACAAATGGCCAACAAATGTACACACACACACACACACACACACACACCCGACACACACACACACCGTGTATATGTGTGTGTGTGTGTATATATATATATATACATACACATGATATATATACATATATATACACACACACATACACACACCATGGAATACTACTTAGCCATAAAAAGGAATGAAATAATGGTATTCACAGCAACCTGGATGGGATTGGAGATGATTATACTAAATGAAGTAACTCAGGAATGAAAAACTAAACATCATTTGTCCTTACTCATAAGTGAGAGCTAAGCTATGAGGATGCAAAGACATAAGAATGATACAATGTACTTCAGGACCTGTGGGGAAGGGAAGGGTGGTAGGAGAGTGAGGGATAAAAGACTACATACTGTATATAGTATACACTGCTTGGGTGATAGATGCACTAAAATCTGAGAAATCACCACTGAAGAATTTATTCATGTACTAGAAAGTACAATAAAATATCTCCCCGCAAACAAAATACAAATGTCATTCTTCACAGTTAGAAAAAACAATCCTAAAATTCATACAGAACCAAAAAAAGAGCCCAAACAGCTAAAATAATCCTGAGCAAAAAGGGTAAAGCTGGGGGCTTCATATTACCTAAATTCAAAAATTTATTACAAGGCTATAGTAACCAAAACAACATGGTATTGGCATAAAAATACACAAATAAATCGATGGAACAGAATAGAGAACCCAGAAATAAAAGCCACATATTTATAATCAATTCCTCTTTGATAAAGTTGATAAGAACCTACACTGGAGAAAGGTCATGCTTCTTCTTCAATAAGTGGTGCTTGGAAATCTAAAAACTCATCCTAAATAAGAATGAAGCTGAACTCTTATCTCTTGCCATATACAAAAAAAAGTTAAATAAAAATGGATTAAAAACAAACATAAAACTCAAACTTATAAAAAATACTCGAAAAAAACCTAGGGAAAACTATCCTGGGCATTGGTTTAGGCAAAAAAATTATGACAAAGAGCCTGAAAATACAGGCAACAAAACCAAAAATTCACAAATGGGACTATATTAAACTAAAAAAGCACAGCAAAATAAACAATTAACAGAGTGAAAAGAATCTGTTGAACAGAAGAAAATGAAAACTATTCATTCTAAAAAGGACTATTAGCCACAATATACAAAGAACTGAAACAACAGGCAACACAAATTCTCTTAAAAAGTGGGCATAGGACATATGTAAGCATTTGTCAAAAGAAGACATACAAATACTCAACAAGTATATGAAAAAAATGCTCAACATCACTAGTAATCAGAGAAAGGCAAATCGAAATCACAATGAGATGTCATCTTACCCTGGTCAGAATGGCTGTTATTTAAAAGGCAACAAATAACTGATGCAGGTGAGGATATGGAGAAAAAGGACCTCTTGCAAACTGTTGCTGGGAATGTAAACTAGTACAGTCACTATGGAAAAGAGGATAGAGAATTCTCAAAGACACTAGAATTACCATTCAATCCAGCAACCCCACTACCCAAAGAAAAAGAAATCAATATATCAAAGGGATACCTGCACTCATGTTTATTGCAGCACCATTCACAAAAGCAAAGATATGGAATTAACTTAAGTGTCCATCAAGTGTCTATCAACAGACCAACAGATTAAAAAAGCAGATGTATATACACAAAATGGTATACTATTCAGCCATAAAGAATAATGACATCATGTCATTTGCAGCATCAAAGATGGAACTAGAGGCCATTATCAAGTGAAATATGCCAGGAACAAAATAACAAATATTGCACATTCTCACTTATATATGGGAGCTAATAAAATCTGATCACACAGAGGTAGAGAGTAGAAACACCAACAGGGAAGGGTGATACAGAGGAAAGAGAAAGGAAGGAGGGGGGAAGATAAAGAGGACTGGGTTAAACAGTTCAAACATACAGTAAGATAGAAGGAATAAATTAAGTATTTGATAGTAGAGTAGGGTGACTATATTCCGCAAAAATGTATTGTACTAACTTGATGGATACTCTAAAAGTACCCTGGCTTGATCATTATGTATCATATACATGTAACAATTTCTTATGTACCCCATAGATTTGTGCAAGTAATAAAAACAAGGCTGAGACAGGAAGATCACTTGAGCCCAGGAATCTGAGATTATAGTGTGCTATGATCACATCACTGCACTCCAGCCTGGGTGACAGGCTAAATAAATAAATAAATGAATAAATAAAATTAAAAAAATTTAAAAACTACAAGAAAATGAACAACCAATTTAACAAAGGGCAAAAGATCTGAAGATACCTCATCACAGAAGACATAACAGATGTCAAATAAGTACGTGAAAAAATGTTCAACATCATATGTCAGGGAATTGGAAATTAGGCCAACAATAAAATACCAGTACATCTATTAGAATAGCCCAAATCCAAAACACTGGCAACATCAAACGTGGGTAAAGATGTGGAGAAACAAAAGCTCTCATTAATTGCTGATGGGAATGCAAAATGATATAGCCATTTGGAAGACAGTTTGTTTCTTACAAAATGAAACATTCTTTTACTGTAAGAGCTTGCAATCATTCTTAGTATTTACCCAAATGAGATGAAAACCTGTGCTTACACAAAAACACACATATGGATGTTTACTGTAGCTTTATTCATATAACTGCCAAGTGGAAAGAGATCAAGATGCCCTTTAGCAGGTGAACGGATAAACTGTGGCACATCCAGACAACTGATTATTCAGTACTAAAAAGAAATGAGCTGTCAAGCCATGAAAAGACATAGAGGAGCCTTAAATGAATATTACCAAGTGAAAGAGGCCAGTCCAGAAAGGCTATATGCTATATCATGCTAACTATATGACATCCTGGAAAAGGCAGTAAAAGGAACAGTGGGGACAGTAAAAGCAAGAGTGGTTTCCAGGGCCTTAGAGAGGAGAGATGAATGATTAGGTGGCGCACAGGGGATTTGTAGGGCAATGAAAATACTGTATATGATACCATAATGGTGGATACATATCACTACACATTTATCCAAACCCACAGAATTTATAATACCAAGAGTGAACCCTCATGTAAAGTCTAGGGTTTGGGTGATAATGATGTGTCAGTGCAGATCATGCATTGCTACAAATGCACCACTCTGGTGGGCGATGTTGACAGTGGGGAGTGTGTGCATGATGGCAGGGCATATATGTGGACTCTGCCTTCTACTGGATTTTGCTGGGAACTTAAAACTGATCTAAAAATAAAGTCTATATAAAATACATTATTTTTTTTTTCAGAACAGCAAAAATATATGCAAACTAATTCTATGATTATTAAAAATGGAAGTCCAATGTTTTTATTTTTTTATTCAATGCCTTAACTCCCCAAACAAGTTTCTAGGTAGAAGACTATTCCAAACTATACAAGAAAGGATGGGATGTGGGTTTTGTAAACTGGACATTTATCAACCATTTAAAGTGGGAGGTCTTAAAGGCTCTCTTTACTCCCTTATTACTGAATGTTACTTTTGGGATGTGTAAGATCTTTACGGTACACTTTAAAATTGTATCCTCATCTTTTTATTTAATACTTCTCTGACTAGTCTAAGCTCCTAACAAGTCTTAGGTCTTATCTTCACACCTCCAAAATCCAGTTCAAACTGTGATGATAGAACGTATACAACAAATAAATGTTAGGTGTTTTATTCGATGAGAATACAGAATCAAAGGAAATCTATAACTAAATTCATGAAACATCATGAAATAATTCTACAATGCTTTAAAATCAAGACATTCAAAAACTGCATTTCACTGCTTTTAAATCAAGGCATTTAACATTCTCAAAATGAATTTATATACTAGGCTTGAGCTTCTTAAGTTCAGTTTCCAAGTTTATATGCGATAAAGCAAGGTTGTTGATCTATTTAAAAGAGGAATGTTCCAAGTTGGGAAGTTTATAAACTAGGTAACTGGAAAGAACAATTCAGAAGGAAAATACTGACTGATCTCAATTAAAAAAAAGGGTCCTGGTCAGTAGATTTCTCATTTTCCCATGAGTATAAATATATTTAACTGAAAAAATTCGGTTAGAATAACATATTACTATTTCTGTCAGTATAACCTGACAATATACCAAAGCCAAGTCAGAAATTGTTATAATTAAAACAATGCAAGGCAGTAATCACATGATATAATTATGGTAGTTAACTGTGATCTAATTCCCCCCCCCCATTTCTATGCTTTTTAAAAAATTAGATTCAAAGTAGAGTGAATCACATTCTAATATAATTTTTAAATATTTTCTATATTTAACTGTCTTCTAGCATAGTTTATATAGTATAAACCTAAAATATTATGTTTCAAAAATTGAATTATATAAAAATAACCTAGGCCAAACTTTTTCAAAGCACCAAATTTGCTCAGATGGAATCCACATTTCACCAGAAGAGGTTGAACACTATTAGTATAAAACACCAACAAAAGTGGATGTCAGCAACTTCATGTTAAACATCTGTGTTACATTTCCATAGCAGAATGCCTAACATACACATTATAAACCATCATAAATCACAACTGTAAAAAATAAAAATAAAAACTTACAGCTCCTTTGCAGTAGAGTCGTAACTTCCCAGATGGAGTGCGAACAATCACTGACATTCTTTTTCTAGCACTGAAAGAAAGAGGTTTTCTATAATGTGTCATCTTACCAAAGATATGCATCTATACGCTTGTAATGCCTCACATATTTTAATATTCACAGTGAAAAAGTAAATCTGACCAAATCATGAGCCCTAATCTTCCACATACACAAACTATCCCGTGTGTACAGTTGGGCACCTGTAAAAGTTACATTATGCTTTTTAAGGCACCAGGGTACTATCGAACTGTTCCAGTGGAATAGTTGACAAAATAGTTCCTCAGAAACCTGCAAGAGCTCATACCCATCAGAGGACAGTCCTGGTTCAATGTTTTCAGATTTGAAAAAATATTTAAGTTGGTTTCTTAAGGGATAAATTATGTTACAGTTTTTATTAAAAACAGAAATATCAATAAAAATCAATTTTTATTAAAAATAGAAATGATAATCAGTGATAACTCATCACACATAAAGGTCAATGCTAGTACTTTAAAAAACAACTCAAGCATTCACAACTATTGTTTTTCAATGATGACTAGCAAACCATTGGCATCATGCTAAAAACCTAATTTATGCAGCAAACTTAAGCTAATGAGCACAAACATTTTAATACTGTGTTGGTGACATAGTTTAATAAGAACTGTGTCAAATGTACATCTTTCAATGCATTAATAAAAAAGAGATAGCAAATAGCATTGAATGGAAGAAACTGGGACAGCATTACAAAGGATAGGACTCATTTGGACCATCAGTATATAAGCATCCTCCTCAGAACTGAGGGCAGAAAAGGACTTCTCAAATGTCTCTATCTACTAGTTGTTTTACCTGCTAAAAAAACTGAAATGAGTTCAATATACAACAGCTGTCAGTTATGGTATCATAGTATACAGTCAGGAGTTTCTTTCAGAGGAATTTAGAAATATTTAAGTTTCCTCTTTCTCCATCCATAATGCTCCTGGTATTACTACCTCAATCTCTATCCTTGTACATCAGGAACACATTTAATCGTAATGTGTTTGTAATGACACCTATACATTCTACATTAGCCCTTCCTGGTTCATGCCTCTTTTACTTCAGCTTTGATAATGTGGTCCCAAATTCATCAACTTCCTCGTTCTTCTCTTCCTGGTGTAATCTCCAAATACTGGATGAATGAGAGCTCTCTTTTGTGGTACATCAAAGTAAGTAGATTTTGCTGAAGAAAAGTTATTAATTGCCATTTAGATATGTTTTTTAAACCACACTTAGAAATTTTGTATGTCTTGTCATACCGGGCCATAGAGATTAGCAAATACATGATGTTATGCAACACCAACTAGGTGCTCCTTACTGCCTAGTAGCCCATCATATTCCAACAAGCTTGCCCTCTCACCCTGTGCAGGGCTACAGCACATCTTCTTGATTCTCCAAGACTCCCATGCTCCCTCCTCACCCCAGAACCTTGACAGAAATTCACCTTGATAAAAACTTCAGATAAGAAATCCCTTTTTGGCAGTGGCTCATACCTGTAATCGCAGCACTTTGGGAGGCTGAAGTGGGTGGATCACTTGAGGTCAGAAGTTCGACACCAGTCTGGCCAACATGATGAAACCCTATCTCTACTAAAAATACAAAATTTAGCCAGTTGTGGTGACGTGCACCTGTAATCCCAGCTACTCAGGAGGCTGAGGCACGAGAATTACTTGAATCTGGGAGGTGGAGGTTGCAGTAAGCCAAGATCACGCCCCTGTATCCAGCCTGGGTGACAGAGAGAGACTCTGTCTAGCGGGGAGGGAGAGGTAAGCTGAATGGGGGAAGAAATCACTTTTCTTTCTGCCATTAAAACCTGCATATCTATGTGTGCACCATCCCCTCCATCTTTTTTGCTGATATGATGGAAGAAACATTTTCCTGTCAGAGGTCTTCCTTCCACGTCTATGAACCTCCTCTCATCCCACTTTCTCAGTAACCTCACTCCATAGGTTATGCTGTTCTCCCCTGAATCTGCCTTTTCTCCTTCTATAAAGATCCTATTCATAAGCATTTAAACATACTCTGGTCTCTCCCCTACAAAATTCAGCCCCATGCAAGCACGCCTCCATTAAGCCATATCCTTCAGCTCTTTCACATTTCAATGTCTCTAAACCATCACTACGTGTACTGTCTTCACTCATCTCCCCACTTAATTCCCAGTCTTTTCCTTTTTGTTCTCTCCTCACCATTCCAATGAATAGCTACATTTGACAAATTCTTCTCAAACTTCTTACCTAAACTTGCAGCAGTCTCTGACACAGATGATCACTCTTTCCTTGCGCCCTCTTCTCCTGGCTCTGTGCTCTGACCCTCTCTGTCCTCTACATCTGTAACAACAAGGTCATCTCTTTTGCTGATTCCTCTTTTTCCAATCAACCCTTATACTAATGGTTTAATTGTTAGCCTTCCATTTTCCCCTCACTTTATATCTCATCTTCAGGAGGTCCCATTCAGTTTTTTGACCTCAAATACCACTTGCCAACTACTATCTGCCAAATCTCTATTTCAGCCACAGATTTCTCTTGTTTCAGGCCCTTATATTCAACTGCTTACCTGACACCTCCATTTGTATGTCTCACAGGCATCTAAAACTAAGACTTCAAACATTTTAACCTCCACTCTTCCTCCTCCCACTTCTGCCATCTGTGTAAAGGCACTCTATCTACCCAGTTGTTCATGCCAGAGACCCTAACCTCTTCCTCTTTTCGCCTTCTACCTCCAGTCCCTGAAGTCCCTCTGATATTCCTCTACAAGGTACATGGATTCCATCAACTTTCTTTTATTTTCATTACCATCATCCTAGTTTAAACCACTAATGTCTTTCATAGAGACTATTTTACCAGCATCACATTCACTTTTCTCATGTCATTCTTAACCCCGCCTTCATCACTGAATTGTGAAAGAACAGAAACTCCCAACTCTGCTTTATTTTCTTCTTCACGGCACTCATCACCTAGCATGGTGCTTTCTAAGTGTGGTTTAAAAAACATTTCTAAATGCCAATTAATGGGCTACTTATGACAGTCTACAGATATACTACAGATAAGCTCGGGAAAAACAATCGCTTTGACATGAAAAGAGATGAGGGTTGCACTTCGAAAATCAGCTGTTTAATTATTTAATGTATTCATCTTCTTTGGGATCATCAGAGCATACAAGTTAAAAAAAAACTGTAAATTTTTTTTTACAAAAATAATGGGGTCAGACAGACCCCATTATTTTTGTTATTAACCACTGGCATGTGGTCACTCCCAATCAAGGCAGCAAACGGAGTTGGCACAGAAAAGGAAATGCCTCCCCTACGCAATATACAAGCTTGCGTTATGCAGAAGAAAGTTCAAGAAAAATGATGGACACTTATTTCCCTGAACAACAGCATTACTTCCTCATGGCCTTAATTCTGTGAAGTGTCCTGTGAATGATGCCATCTTTAAAGACACTGCAGCAAAGGCCCCTCTGCTTCAAGAATGCAGGTAAGCTGGGAAATTACATGGTCATGTGGGAGTAAAAGGCTAAAAACTCACAGACTTATCACTGATTGTAACTAAAGTGATCTATTATTCGTCCTTAAGAAATAAAATAAGTCAGACAATCAGTTTGCTTTCTGTCCTTTCCTACTAGATGGTAACTGGTCTTACACCTAATAGAGACATGAATATGGTTTCCCAAATCCTGAAGACAATGAAATGTAATGAGCATTCAATTAGAATGCTGGCTTCCTGACTCTGACTCATCTCTTCTCCACCTACATCTGAAGCCTCTAAACATAACTATGTTTCCAGATCGCCAGCCATAAGACACCTGGCCATATATGCAAGGTTTGTGAATCAGACGGTTATATTTCAAAAAGGTTTCTTCATTTTCTAAATTTAAAAATCGATACATAGTATTTGTACATATTTATGGGGTATATGTGATATTTTGTTAGATGCATAGAATTTATAATGATCAAATCGGGATATTTGGGATATGCATGATCTTGAGTATTTATTTACCTATAACTTGTATGTCCTGGGAACATTTTAAGTCTTGTCTTCCAGCTATTTTGAAATATACAACACATTGTTGTTAACTATAATTACCCTACTTCATTACGGAACATCTGAACTTACTTCTTCAACATAAGTGTATGTTCGAACCCATTAACTAACCTCTCTTTATCCCTTTCCCTCCCACCCATACACCTTCCCAGCCTCTGCTGTCTATCATTCTACTCTCTACCTCCATGAGATCTACTTTCCAAAAGACTTTAAAACTGCTACCAGTACTCATGCATTGCAATACTCTGAAGAAAATGGTTTGTGATTTATCTACAGATAATGATGATCAAAAATGTACTCAAGATTTTGATTTAATATTTTGTCTAAACAAATTTAAATGAAAATAAAGCATACTTTCTAGTTATTCAAAAGGGAAAAAATAAAAATGGATATGAATTTATCTTATCCATACAAATCACTGAGCAGATGTTTTACCTGGTGAACTCCAAGACATTGAGCAACTCATATCTTTCTTCCTGCCCCAACTAAGAAGAAAAGGAATATATAATTACATACAGTTGGAAACATTTTAAGCTTCTTGGAAATAAATCCTAGTCATAAAGTCTTATTGTAAAAAATGCCAACACAAGCAAATTTTCCCTACTGAAATGTAGAAGGGAACTTACTAACTTTTACATTAACTGAGTTACTGAAAACAGAATATCCCAAACAGGAGAAAACCAAAAGGAATTCAAAGTATCACTGAAGAGTCCTTAGAATATAACCTGCCCAGACAAGAGAATGGAGGGCTTCAAAAGAGATGTCATAAGGAAAGAACTGCCAATGAACAGATTATGTGGTGCGATTGTATTGAGAAAAATATGTTAGAAGGTACGGGAACAATATAGATAATAGGGGGAAAAAAAGGGAAGCAATGGAAAAAAAAAGTAAGAGATTCACCTTTAGAAAATGATGGAAAAAGTGGCCAGGTCCAGTGGCCACGCCTGTAATCCCAGTGCTTTGAGAGGCTGAGGTGGGAGAATCAACTGAGCCCAGGAATTCAAGACTAGTCTTGAAAATACAGCATTAAAAAAAAATTAAAAAAAAATTAGCTGTGGTGGCCCATGCCTATAGTCCCAGCTATTTTAGAGGCTGAGGTAGGAGGATCACTTGAGCTCAGGGGCTCAAGGCTACACTTAGCTATGACTGCACCACTGCACTCCAACCTGGGTGACAGAGCAAGACCCTATCTCTAAAAAAAAAAAATTGGTGTTAGGAAACACAAAATTTAAAAAACAAAAAATATAATTACCGAATACAACAATGTGCAACTATGAATAGTAGCACAGGTAAAATTAAAGGCAATACTACACAGAAACTAAAAAATAATTTTTAAATAGCTATAATTTATATATAATAAAATGCATAAATCTTTAACATAGAGTCAAGTGAAAATTGCATAGTTTGGTAACTTCCACCCCAATCAAGATATAAAACATTCCCAACATCCTATAAATTCCCTTGTGCCCTTTTTCAATCAATCTCCTCCCTGCCCTGAGGCAACCACTGTTTTGAATTCTATCACCATAAATCACTTTTTCCTGATCTTGAGCTGCATAAAAATGAAATTAAAACGGATGCACTCCTTTGTGTCTGACATTTTTTTTTCCTCAGCATAATGTGTCTGATTCATGTTTTGATTCATTTTTCATCCATGCTGTTGATGAATCAATAACTCATTCCTTTATATTGTTTAGATGTTCCATTGTGAGAATATATCACAATTTGTTTATCCATTCTTCTATTGATGGGTATTTGGTTTGGTTTCTAGTTTTTGGCTACTATGAATAAAGCTACTATGGGCATTTTTAAAGACAGAAACTTAATTTCTGCTGAATAACTGTGAGCACAATTGCTGGGTCAGGTGTAAGTTTACCTCAATTAGACAACTCTAGAAGCTTTTCCAAAGGGACTGTACCACTTTACACGTCTGCTAGCAGTCTGTGATTGTTCCACTTGCTCCACATGCTCATTAACATTTGGTGGTGTCCATTTGTAAATTTTAGTATTTAGAAAATAAAGGAACAAGTGGCCAAGTGCATGGTTCATGCTTGTAATCCCAGTGTTTTGGCAGGCCAAGGTGGGAGAATCACTTGGGTGAGTATGTAGTGCTATCTCATTGCGGTCTTAATCGTATCTCCTTGATGACTAACAATGCTTTTTCACATGCTTATTGGTCATCCATACGTCTTCTTTTGTGAAATGTCTGCTCAAGTCTTTTGCCCACTTTAAAAATTGGGCCTGAGTATTTAACTAAAAATTGGAATAAAACGATAATAATATTGGGAACATCAGGAAGGATAAACAAAAAGGATGGTGATTCAAGAGATACAAGATACATCCTCATGTAACAGAATCAGAAGACACATTAAAATTGAGGAGTCAAAGCATGTATTAATAGTCACCTATTTTTTTGAAAATATGAGATGTATATATGCTTAAATAAATAGCTAAAAAACCATCCAGTGGTTGCTTCTGGAGTGGGGAACCTCTATTTTATTATAAGCCTTTTGGTATTTATCTCTGAAGCTATGCAAATGTATTACTTGGATTAAAAAGAACCTTAAAAACAACTAACTTACTGAATCTATAATCACTGAGTCGGGTGTTCTTCCGGTGAAAACAAAATTCAATTGCTTGGCTGCTCTGACCAATGCTCCCTCGTCTGTTTTAGAAGAAGAGGTAAAAGCAAATACATGATTGAAAAAAAAAAAAAATTTCAGTACAAGTGAAGTGCATTAAGGTAGTATAATTTTCTGTTTAATTAAAGGTCTTTTTATTCTGGCTCCTGTTATTAATCCAATTATTTTAAAATTACATGACAATTCCAAAGAAATAAGGAGAATAATCTGAAGTATAGAACTCAGAGTTACATTTCTGAAATGTTAAGTCTCACGGTTAGTGATACATTCCTAAGAAGCTTAATTTAAATGTATCCCTTCATCCAGCATACTTGCTAGAAAACTTTCTCAAAAGGACTCAGAGAAAATTGCCTTCTAAAGTTTTATCCTTTTCCTCCTAAAATGTTGAGTCTAGAGAAATTAATATTGCTAATTGAGGATTCAATTTAAACAGCTTTAAATGAGCTGACGATTTTACTATCCATGAATTTCATGTTATATAAAACCTTTTTATTGCTGAGAGTAGGATATGGCATAAGAAAACATACAGTTCCTGTCCTAACAGTACAAGGCATAACAGTTCTTATGCTTTTAAGGAATTTAGTATCTCCTATAAGTCACGGATGCTAGCTTAGAATACAGCTTAAAACACTTCTAACAAAGTTCTCATCAAATTGACTATCTACCCAATTTTACATTGAAAATGGGTCCAAAGTGTAAGTACCTAATATTGATAACTGTACTAATAATATTTTATAGAATCCCTTCAAATGTGTAAAACTTTCTTAACCCAAATAATTACACAAGCTCCTTTATTATCATTAACAAGAGAGAAAAGCAAAATTGTTCCAAAGTTATATATGCTTACTATATTCAGGCAAACACATCTTCCTTTTCCTACTTGTTCCTGTGCAAAATCAGCCTGACTAAGAGTTCTTAGGTATTTATAAAGAAGGGAAAAATGATTATATATATGTAAAAAACTATATTTTACACTTGTGAGAATTATGTTACTCAGATTTTCATGTAACTTATGTCATATACCAAAAATTACATATACAAAGTTACATATTTTAAAATATCACATATATGTTTAACCTTGAAAAGCCAAGGTTTTTCTGATTGGTAAATAAAAATTTTTATATAAAAAACACTTAATTTCACTATCTTATTTTTTTAAAATTAAATCGACTTTTACATTCAAAACAATTATCCACAAAAAAAAAAATACTTTACAATGGCTTCATTTGTACCTGGAGATGCTGCTTGATAAATAATCTTATCACCTTCTCGCTCTGGCACTGCTGTGTGACAGACCGCCATCATTGTAAGAAATTCACATATTATAGGTGCAGTCGGCTGTGAAAAATAAACACATGATTTAGCCTTTCTCACGTGAACATTTTTACACTGATAGTAATTATTATTTCATATCTATTAAGAACATAGCTGTTGGCTGGGCACGATCACTCACGCCTGTAATCCCAGCACTTTGGGAGGCCAAGGTGGGCAGATCGCCTGAGGTCAGGAGTTCGAGACCTGTCTGGCCAGCATGGTGAAACCCTATCTCTACTAAAAATACAAAAATTAGCTGGTTGTGGTGGCAGGCACCTGTAATGCCAGCTACTTGGGAAGCTGAGGCAGGAGAATTGCTTGAGGAGGCAAAGGTTGCAGTGAGCTGAGATTCTGCCATTGTACTATCTAGCCTGGACAACAGAGCAAGGCTGTGAGAAAGGAAAGGAAAGGAAAGGAAAGGAAAAAGTAAAAAGGGAAAAGGGAAAAGGAAAAAGGAAAGGAAAGGAAAGGACAGGACATGGCTATTATAGATTAGAGGTATGGGATTATAGCCAACTAAGAAGCCAACATTGATTATAAAGAAAATGTGTTAATTTACATTATTTTTCTACTCTTTCAATCATTTTCTAAACATTTATACAAGACAACTTGTATGTTGTCAAATACAAATAGTATAGTGAGAAAGGCAGATGTAGCTGAATCTTGTCCTTGGAAGACAAAAGAAAAATTCAAAAATGTTCATTTACCCAGCTGTAATTCCTGATCAGATTTAAAATTTTAGGCATGTGATTTTACTGAATTGGGGTAATAATGACTGAGAATTTTTCTATAATGCTTTTTTCTTCCACTCTAAAAATGGTAACTTTATTCATATTTTAATAAATAAAAAAAATTTTGAGCAACTCCTATGTCCAGTGGACTCTTACAGGCTGAGAAGACAGAAAGGTGTATCCTTTCTGCAAGGAGCTTAGGGTTTATAGGAGAAAAGAAGCCAAGTATTTTAAATATCTTCCTGTCTGGCTCCCAATAAAGAGAAATGTCATTCGATTTAGTAAAGGAAAAACATTTCTCAATGCTCTTGGGCAAAAAAAATAATAAAGTGAAGTGACTAGGAAGACAGATCAGAACATTATTTGAAAAAACTGTGTTCAGGCTAGAACAGTGGACTAAACACAGACATTGTCCCTGCCACGTGAAGCTTAGCATTGTGGGGAAGACAGAACACAAATAAATATACACTCATTATTTACTTATAGCATGACAAGCACTGTAAAGTAGGGAATATGCAAATATCATGTAATGTGACTTAAGCGAGTCTGTGGCTGTTCTCAAGATAATGTAATATTTGAGCTGATGAGGTTTTAGCCTCCTGAAGAATTGGGCAATGTGCTTTCCATCAAGCAGGAATAGGACATAGCTGAAAAGGTCATAAAGAAGGAAAGGATGATGTGTTTTAGAAAATAAAAGAAGGCCAGTGGGATAAGGAGAAAAAAAAGGAGCTCAAAATGAGGGTGATAGCTTAGGCAAGGGCCATATCATGTTACTTTGTGAGTGGAAAGAGAAGGCAGAGAATAGGCTTAAACAGGATAGTGAGGGGACTTGATTTTCCTTTGCATTTTTCAGCTCTCATGTGCAACAGTAACTGGATAGGAGTAAAAGTGGAACCCAGGAGACTGGCCAGGAGGCTACCACAGTAATCCACAGAGCGGGTTCTGGCGGTCTGGAGTGGGGTGGTGAAAATGAGGATTAACTGTAGCCGACACTCAAGGCAGATTCTAGAAATCAGTATTGACAAGGGCTTGGTGTCTCAGAGATCTGGACATGGAGAGAAAAGGAGGCATTAAAGGCAACCCTCTAGTTCCTAGGAAGAATCGTAAGATAGGTGATGGTACAATTTATCGAAAGCTGAGAATCCAAGAGGGGAGGGGTGGTGTAGGTCTAGGTTTTGTAGATCCTGAAGTCAATATTTTGTTGAAGGTTAATAGAGAAAACAGAGATAGAAAACACCCACATCAATATACTGATAGGGCCCCACTCGGGAAAAAGTGACAAGTCCACCTGTACTAGAGAAGATGTATGTTTTGGGGTGACAATTATGAGTTCAAGTTTTGCCATACTGGGCTTGAAATGGTTATGAGAATAAGTTCTGGGTTTAACTCCAGAAGACTCTATAATTTGATCTTATGAAATCTGAGTGTGTGTCAGTGTGATGGTTTAACTCCAGAAGACTCTATAATTTGATCTGATGAAATCTGAGTGTGTGTCAGTGTGAGTGTCAACTTGACTGAAAGATGGAAAGTATTGATCTTGGGTGTGTCTATGAGGGTATTGCCAAAGGAGATTAACGTTTGAGTCATTGGGCTGGGGAAGGCAGAACATCTAATCAGCTGCCAGCATGGACAGAATAAAAAGCAGGCAGAAAACTGTGAAAAGGCTAGACTAGCTTAGTCTCTCAGTCTACATCTTTCTCCCATGCTGGATGCTACCTGCACTCAAACATCGGACTCCAAGTTCTTCAGCTTTGGGACTTGGACTAGCTTCCTTGCGCCTCAGTGTGCAGACAGCCTATTGTGTGACCTTGTGATTGTGTGAGTTAATACTACTTAATAAACTACCCTTTATACATATCTCTCCATCCCATTAACTCTGTCCCCCTAGAGAACCTTAATAGATCAGTAACTTCATAAGCAGGATCTTCACATTGTGTGGCAGAAGCCTGAAGTTTCTATTGGAGATTTAGCACTGGCCTATGGTACTTAGCAGGTAATTTATTTCTATAGATATTCTAAAATTGTTAATATTGAGCTGTTTCAGAGAGGGTTCTATAATCACTTAAAATGAAACAATTTGAAAAGATAAAATATTAATAATATTAAAACCAAATTAATAACAATGATGAATTCATGTTGGCCAAGTAAAAAGGATTTGGCATAGACTTTGATAATTATTAAAAATGATCATGAGGCTGGGTGCGGTGGCTCATGCCTGTAATCCCAGCACTTTGGGAGGCTGAGGTGGGTGGATCACCTGAGATCAGGAGTTCGAGATCAGCTTGGCCAACACGACGAAAACCCGTCTCTACTAAAAATACAAAAATTAGTCAGGCATGGTGGCAGGTGCCTGTAATCTCAGCTACTTGGGAGGCTGAGGCAGGAAGATGCCTTGATTCCGGGAGGCAGAGGTTGCAGTAAGTCAAGATCACTCCACTGCACTCCAGCGTGGGTGACACAGTAAGACTGTCTTAGGAAAAAAAAAAAAAAAAAAGATCATGAAAGTAAAAAAGAGAAATAGATAAACATAGAAGATAGTTCAGAGAAATGCTCATTAGTTTTATTCACTAACAAAAAGATAATGGTTTTGTGTCACTTACATGATTATTTTGGAGATTTTCCAGCAATGATGAATCACTAAATGTTTTGTCATCTCCAAACTGTGAGCTCTGCCTAAAGAGGAAAAAAATACAGTAAACCCAGTTTATTTATACAAGCCTATTGATATATTTGTTAATGTACTTTATAAGTAAAGTGTTATGTCTCCAAAACCTTAATAAGTTAAATAGAATTTGGCCTGCATTTCTAAATAAGACATCACAGATTTCATGATTCTATCGTAAAATATACTCATGCATTCTAAAATGTGAAAGATGTTTATAGTGTAATGAAAAACAGTATTTTACAGTTCATTTTTTTTGGAGTTAAATTACTTTGCAGCCACATGAAATTTAAAAAATATATAAGAAATAAAACTATTAAAACATCTGGAACTGAATTTCTTCCACTTCTATAATATTTTCAATTTTTAGGATTTTAAGAATTAATGAAAGTTATCATGCAAAATATTATTTTAGGCATATGAGAACTCTTTAAAATCTTTATACGTAGTGATGAAAATAATGAAATATAAAAACATGAATAAACCATTTATAGATTATATCAACATCTATCACTAATATCTGAGCAAATATTTATGAACATATTATGTTTGTTCTGAAAATGTAAGAACAAAAGTATGGAATTTTTTTGTGTTGTGGCTATCTTCAGATTAGCAAATGTATTATATACTTCATAGGATATAAATGGAGCCAAATATCTCTGCAAACTAGCTATCATTAATCCCATGGCCATGCAATTCAATATAAAAATACTGAGATTCAAAGGAAAAAGAAGGAACACTTAAGTGGGAACGTCAAAAGAAAAGGGTTTAGTTTGCAAAGTTTAGTGAAAACATATACATTTGAGCTTCAGTGCACAGAAGAAAATTTCAGACTTCACCGAGGGAAAAAAATGTGTCTGATACCAAGCAATTATAATCCAGAAAGCTTTAAATTACAACGTTTACAGGTTACAAAGAGTAGTAACAATGTCAACATGTCAGAGATGAAGACTTTCAGATTTTAAAGGCAGCAGCTTGACAAGAAGGAAAACTCATTGAAGAAAATGGAATTTGAAAGAATAGAACATACATAGTATTTTCAATGAAACACATTCCTCCAGTAAACCTAAGGAGGAAGTTAGAATGTTTATAATGCAACACATCTTTATTGACATGTACTAAGTTTTGTCTATTAAATCTCAAAATCATAAGATAATACATCTTTATTTGCAGGTAGTAGTTTAGAATAATCAAAATATCCTTAGGTGCTAAAGTAAACATGTCATTATCATCATTATCATTATTATTTCTCTAGTTTTAAAGATGGAAGGAAAAAATCCAAGAACTTTTAAATGACTTATCAATGTATAGACAAAAAGTTAGCATTTCTCCTCCAAATATTACCATTTATTAAAAAGAGTTCATTACTTGGGCCTTTATGAAATGTTCCTATTATTAAAATATATTCATAACGACTTCCGCCAAGACAGGCGACTAGGAACAGTTCCAGAGCACAGTTCCCAGTGAGAGAGATGCAGAAGGCAAGTGATCTCTGCATTTCCTACTGAGGTACCAGGTTCAATTCAATAAGACTGGCTGGACAGCGGGTGTAGCCCAAGGACACCAAACTGAGGCAGGGCGGGGTGCTGCCCACTCGGGAAGTGCAACTGGACAGAGGACCAGGGACTTTATCCCCTTGGCACTCCGGTTCAGATACTGCGCTTCTCCCATGGCCGTTGAGAACAGTCCAGGAGAATGCTGTGAGGCTGAAAAGCACTGTGAGTTACCAACACAGATCTGAGCGACAGCTCCGGCCAGCCAGGCACTGCGAGTTTTCAGTACAGATCTGGGCAGAAGTTCTGACTAGCTCTGAGAGCACCTGTGGGACGGATCTACCTGCTCCCCCCAGGAAGAGGGAGAGCTAAAAGCAGGGAGATAGGTGATATAGCTTGGCAGGTCCCACCCCCACAAGGACCAGCAAACTGAAGCCCTCTCACTTGAGAGTTTCATAGCCAGCACATCAGTCTGAGTTTGACCCAGGACAATCGATCTCAGTGTGGGGAAGGGTGTCTGCCATTGCCAAGGCGTGTCTAATCTCACCTGTGCAAAACAAAAGCCAGAGGAGGCCTATACAGCATCTGGGCTGAGTCTGAGGCAGCCCAGCAGCCTCTCTGCAGGCAGACAAGGGACTGACTGCCTCCTCAAATGGCTCCAAGACCCCTGAATAGACAAAAAAAAACAAAACACCTCATATAGGACAGCTTAGGCTGACACCTGGTGGGTAACTTTCTGGGACAAAGCTATCAGAGGAAAGATTAGGCAGCAATCCTTGCTGCTCCACAGCCCCTGTGGGTGATTCCCAGACAAGCAAGATCTGGAGTGGACCTCCAGCAGTCCTACAGCAGAGGGGCCTGACTGTTAGAAGAAAAACTAAAAATAAAACATCAACAGAAAGGACGTCCACTCAGAGACCCCATCCAAAATCACTAACTTCAAAGATCACAGTTAGATAAACACATAAAGATGGGAAGAAACCAGTGCAAAAAAGGACGAAATCATCAAAGACCAGGATGCATCTCCTCCTCCAAGGGATCACAACTCCTCACCAACAAGGGAACAAAAAAGGATGGAGAATGAATTTAACAAATTGACAGAAGCAGGCTTAAGAAGGTGGGTAATAACAAACTTCTCTGAGCTAACGGAACATGTTCTAACCCAATGCAAAGAAACTAAAAACCTTGAAAAAAGGTCAGACAAAATGCTAACTACAATAGCCAGCTTAGTGAAGAACATAAATGACTTGATGGAGCTGAAAAACACAGCATGAGAACTTTGTGAAGCATACACAAATTTCAACAGCTGAATCGATCAAGCAGAAGAAAGGATAGCAGAGTTTAAAGATCAACTCAATGAAATAAAATGAGAAGGCAAGATTAGAGAAAAAACAGTGAAAAGATATGAACAAAGCCTCCAAGAAATATGGAATTAAGTGAAAAGACCTAATCTACGCTTGATCGGTGTACCTGAATGTGATGAGGAGAATGAATCCAAGCTGGAAAACACTCTTCAGGACATTATCCAGGGGAACTTCCCCAATCTAGCAAGGCAGGCTAATATTCAAATCCAGGAAATACAGAAAACACCAAAAAGATACTCCTCAAGAAGGGCAACCCCAAGGTACATGATCATTAGATTCACCAGGGTTGAAATGAAGGAAAAAGTGCTAAGGGCAGTCAGAGAGAAAGGGTGGGTCACCCAAAAAGGGAAGCCCATCAGACTTACAGCGGATCTCTCAGCAGAAATCTTACAAGCCAGAAGAGAGTGGGGGACAATATTCAATATCCTTAAAGAAGAGAACTTTCAACCCAGAATTTCATAACCAGCCAAACTAAGCTTTGTAAGAGGAGGAAAAATAAAATCCTTTACAGACAAGAAAATGCTGAGATTTTGTCACCACCAGACCTGCCTTACAAGAGCTCCTGAAGGAAGCACTAAACATGGAAAGGAACAACCAGTACCAGCCACTGCAAAAATGTTCCAAATGGTAAAGACCAATGACACAATGAAGAAACTGCATCAACTAATGGGAAAAACAACCAGCCAGTAACAAATGGCATGATCAAATTCGCACATAACAATATTAACATTAAATGTAAACAACATAAATGTGCCAATCAAAAGACTCAGACTGGCAAACTGGATAAACAGCCAAGACCCATCAGTGTGCTGTATTCAGGAGACCCATATCATGTGCAAAGACACACACAGACTCAAAATAATGGGATGGAAGAAGACTTACCAAGCATATGGAGAGCAAAAAAAAAGCAGGGGTTGCAATTCTAGTCTCTGATAAAATGGGCTTTAAACTAACAAAAATCAAAAGAGACAAAGAAGGGCATTACATAATGGTAAAAGAATCAATGCAACAAGAACAGCTAACAATCCTAAATATATATGCACCCAATACAGGAGCACCCAGGTACATAAAGCAAGTTCTTAGCAACCTACAAAGAGACGTAAACTCCCGCACAATAATGGTGGGAGACTTCAACACTCCACTGTCAATATTAGACAGATCAACGAAACAGAAAATCAATAAGGATATCCAGGACTTGAACTCAGATCTGGACCAAGCAAACCTAATAGACATTTACAGAACTCTCCACCCCAAATCCACAGAATATACATTCTTCTGAACACCACATCACACCTACTCTAAAATTGACCACATAATTGGAAGTAAATCATTCCTCAGCAAATGCAAAAGAACATAAATCACAACAAACAGTTTCTCAGACCACAGTGCAATCAAATTAGAACTCAGAATTAAGAAACTCACTCAAAACTGTACAACTTCACGGAAACGGAACTACTGGCTCCTGAATGACAACTGGATAAACAATGAAACGAAGGCAGAAATAAAGATGTTCCTCGAAACCAATGAGAATGAAGACACAACATACCAGAATCTCTGGGACACATTTAAAGCACTGTCTAGAGGGAAATTTATAGCAATAAATGCCCACATAAGAAGTGAGGAAAGATCTAAAATTGATGCCCTATCATCAAAATTGAAAGAGCTAGAGGAGCAAGATCAAAAAACTCAAAAGCTAGCAGAAGACAATAACTGAGATCAGAGCAGAACTGAAGGAGATAGAGACACAAAAAACCCTTCAAAAATCAATAAATCCAGGAGCTGATTTTTTTAAAAGATCAGCAAAATAGACCACTAGCTAGATTAATAAAAAAGAAAAGAGAGAAGAATCGAATAGATGCAATAAAAAACAATCAAGGGGATATCACCACTGATTCCACAGAAATACAAGCTACCATCAGAGATTACTACAAACAACTCTATGCACATAAACCAGTAAATCTGAAAGAAATGGATAAATTCCTGGCAACTTGCACCCTCCCAAGCCTAAACCAGGAAGAAGTTGAAACCCTGAATAGACCAATAACAAGGTCTGAAGTTGAGGCAGCAATTAATGGCCTACTAACCATAAAAAGTCCAGGTCCAGATGGGTTCACAGCCGAATTCTACCACATGTACAAAGAGGAGCTGGTACTA